TGTGGCTTCCGGCCCCAAGAGGGCCAGGTGGGGGGGGGGGCGACTGCCAAGTGGTAGGGCTACCCACGTGGGCCTGGACAGCTCACCAAAACTTGTTAAGCGGCCCTCCACCCAAAATAATTGCCCACCCTGACTTAAACTGTTATGATATGAAAACAGCGCAATGAGAAAACAAAAAAAATTATGACCTTAAATAAATGGCATTTTTTGCTTTACAAATCCTTGAGGTGCAATCAGGCACAGAATGTTGTTACAACATGTTGTAAATGGTTTGTGTCATGGCGCTATTCTAGCATGTTTGTTAGAACATGTCATGGGGTTATTCACCCACTAAAGCCTACTACAATCAGCAAATGGATAAAGAGAGTCTCTAGAGGTCGAGGCCTGAATGTCAGCTGGCGTGAACTCTCACAGCTCCACTGACTTCAGCTGAGCTATGAAAAGTTACACAACCTGAGGATTTGGCCCCTGCTGTTACAAATAAGTGCGTTTTTATTTTCCAGTTGACTGCGTTTATTGTAAATACAAGGTATTACTGCTCATGCACCACTTCTGAGCATGAGATTAAGCTTTGCTATGTGGATTTATGGACATTCCCCTTCCTGTAAGAGAATTAAAAGAATACCGTCTGTTGCATTTCTATACGCTCTGTTTCGGGTGCCAGGAGTTTCATGAAAGCTTTTGGGTTAAATACAGGTGAGGGAGGGAAGGTGCAGTTTTGCATTAGCACCACACCCTGCTCTGCTCTGATCCTAGATTTCCTTATGGAAAAACCCAGCAGAAAGAAATAACATGGCTTTACCCCCATATAAACCTTTGATAGCTCTGACCTGGAGCAACAAGAGAAGAACCTGTCCGATGCCCACATGGCTTCAGGAGAAGCCCAGCAGGGATGATCTACTGGAGTTGAAGCCCTCCCAATGGGATGTATTATGGCTCCATAGAAAAAGGCTGCTCCTTTAGCCGGTGATTCCTCTGATCCCATGCAGAAAAACTCTGCAGGGATGTGCTGCAGGGAGTTGCCTCTTCCATAGTATTTTCCACCTGATTAGGGGACCCGTCCCCTAAGTGATTCTCTACTGGGTGAGGGAATGTTTGGGAGAGAAGTATCATTATCCTTGTTAATCAGGTAGCCGGTTAGGTTCCCAAGCATTTAAATTTCCCGTACTTCATGACAAGTTTGAATCCAAGGATATCTATTAAGTACTTTGGTATGCTTGCTCTACCACCGTAGTTAGGAAATTTAGTTACCTACTAAATCATACCACTTTCCACAGTCCGCTCTGTTGCATTTTGTAGGACTAGCGGGCTAAATGCTCTGTTGTTGACTTCGATAGTTCTACTGCTGCAAAGAAACTGGCTCCATTTTTTCCCAAAGCTGATCTACAAAAGCTTCACCTCAAACTGCAGGTTTCTGCTTCAACATTGTCCAGATAAACAGACACTAAAAGTCTCCTGGTGCCCCAGGAATTCACTAATGTTTTATAATGTGCAAGTCAGCACATGTTCCTTCTCATTCCAAGAAAATTATCTTTATTCATGTACACACAGAGAATGGACTTTATGCTTTTCATCAGCTGAAGTGACAGCGGTGTGCATGCCGTATAATCTCATTTCACTTTTAGAGTAAGGGACTAAGATTTCTACCTTCTGGGAAAAATGCTTGAAAATATATTAGATTTTAATGACTTGTTATATTTTTTAATATCACTGAGATATAAAACTGTGCAAGGTGGTGAATGTTAATTATCTCTACAGCACCCATATTTCTGTAGTATTGTTATGACTAGTTTGAATTCTGTCCTCTTTTTGCAGGGTTAGGTGAGGGCATTACAGGCACAACACTTGCTTTTTCCCTGCTGCACAATGGCATCCACATTTTTCATGAAAACTTCCCTTCCGAAATGTGTATACATATGCAATGCTTTCATTAAGGTATAGTATGAATTTCAGGTATCTACTATACTCATATACTAAAAATAGGCAGGTTTCTTTGCTAGTACTATTCAGATAACCATATGACACTATAGAGTGTTTGCTGCTTATGCAGTTACCGTTCAGCGTACACCCACAGTTTCATGATTAAATCATCTTTTTAGATTTCTATAACTCAACTATAACATTTTATCTTAAGAATTATTTTTTCTCTGGGGGGTTTTCCCTGTGACTTTTTTCCTGTTCATATATTTCAACCAGTCTTCCCTTCTTATCTTTCCCTTCTGTATGAAAGTGAATATAATACTTTTTAAATGCCAAATTGATTTATTTCTGTGATGGCAGGACTGACTATAGAAGCACATCTAATTGTGCTTCTCATCCAATTAGTTTTGGCCTTTCCATAAAAAAGAAGTGTGCATTTACCGGCCTCAGAAGTTTGTTCAACTCATCCCTAAACTTGGATACAGCATCAAGCAATGAAAATGCCTTCTTCCACCACACTATTCTGCAGGCAGAACTATTCTTTTCCATATTTTGGAGAAGAGGAAATATCTCCTTTGGGTCTATTAGCAATCTCAACATGCAGATTTACTCAGGGGAGACCTTAAAGACATCATGGATATGAAGTTTAGAAGATCTTAATCTTAAAATAGATGCTTGGCAAGGATGTACTTTGTTCTCAACATGTAAGCGACTATCTAGTGTTGAGACTGTTTCTGGTCCTTGCTGTGCCTGCTTTTTCCTGACCTGAAGAAGACTGCACTGCATCTGAAAACTTGTCTAAGTCTATCCCAACCATGTGGTTGGTCCAATGAAAGATATCAGCCATAGAAATCCTTACCTTGTGCATAACTTCCTGGACCACTGCAGCTACAATGTCACTCTAACACTACTTTTGAGAAAGTTGCATAATATATTTGTTCATGCAGTGAGGGGTTTTCAGGTATGGGATTTTGGTTAAGCCAAAATTCATTGACTTTCAACGTCAGCTGGTAACCTACTAAGCCCTTCTACGTCCCTTTTGCAAAACTTTGCCTCATCTGCCCAAATCTAACTGCAGGCTCTGTTTGATTGACTGACTTTGTTCTGTATACATAAGATAGTGAGCATAACAAAGAAGGTGCACTTGAAATGTTTTACTGATTGAAATAATCTGCTTGCTGGTTCCAGATGCATTCCCTGTCATTACAAGGGGGTACTCCCTTAAAACCTGTGGAGTCTTTCAAACTACTCAAACCATTTAAGTGGACAGAGCTTTTAAAAAATCTCTGTGCACAATGTTTATAGTAATAGTCATTGGAAGCCTAAAACAGTAATCTGTTTCTCTTGCAGCAGGCATGGATTTTTGTTAATTAATTC